TTCAAATGGCTTTCATCGGATTATTTCGTTTTGAAATCATTCTTAGCCATGAATTCATATTATGATTCATGGCAGTATAGTTGAGCAGTTCCCAGCTTTCAACTCTAATAAACATTACTGGATACGTATTTGCCGTGTTAGTCCTCCGTTTTCGCGAAAACTTCAGGTAGGAATTGTCTGCATCTCGAAAATTGTTTCCGCCTAAATTCATCGTCATTGACACTCAAATCAGCGTTATTTTCACGTGCTCGTTGAATCTTAACCATGCGGAATGGCGTTATTCCATTCGTTTTTGGATTGCTTCCTTCAAGCATACATTATTATTATTTATATACACAAATGCTTTTAAGTGTCGGTTTATAATGCCAGTGCCCAAATAACTGATAAGGTGCTGTGATTCTGTGGTGATCTCCCATTTCTTGTGAAGTGACTTGATATTTATGCTTACGTTGGTTCGATTCATTGGAAGTGAAATTCAATCGAAAATTTCATTTAGACCACTGCATCATTCAGTCTATGCTAGTGGTGTTTGTGGAGCAAGAGCGTTTTAACTCGAGGGTAAAGGACCCCATCGGGAGTAGTTTTTTCGAGGGAGGGGACGAAAGAGGATTCCGTCGTGGGGTATTGATTCGTGGGGAAGAGGAACTCAGTCGGAGAATAATTCTTTGAGGAAGGGGTTTGGTCGAGGAGTAATTTTTCGGATGGGTAGAAGTAACCCCAGTCAACAGTAATCAAACACTAAACGACACCATTAATGTTTGAGAGAACAATTACAGATCGAAAAAAATTAACATTAAACTTGAAATTGGCCCAATAAAGGAATGCAATGAGCACTATAAAAGGAAAAATTTTATGATACCGAAATTAAAGTGACCAAATTAATTCGTTTCTTCGTCGTAATGCATTCCTTGTTCCATGCAACGATGCGATTAATTCATTTTAAACAACAAAAAAAAGCAAATCGCCATCATTACACGCACACACGAACACTCACATTGAAATGAATCATCAAATTTTCTTCTCAATTATGTATTCCATCGAAAAACCATCCATCAGAGTACATTCTTGTGCTTCTTCATCAAGCAATACGTCAGTCAATCACTGCTCTCAAAACATCTGTTCTGCCATTCGAAATTCATTCCATAAACATGTAATTAATTCTTATCATAGCGCATGCATGTGCCCTATCGTTTTGATATTACTTTCGAATCAGTATCGCATAGCTGTCACATGACGTACGCCAATTGATCTGTTTACCAATCACTTTGTCCTGCTTCTTGAAAGCATTATTCCGGATCGAATCAGATCAATGGGCATTACTCCATATCGGATTAGTGAACAGTTTCGAACTGTATTACTTTTATAACTCGAGTGACGTAGTTATCCATCGACATCATGCAGTCAGCGTACTTCACGTTCAGCTGTACCCATTTTGAGTCAGTCATCATATTCACTTTTCTAACTTCATATTAAGGCAATAAAAGAAGTCATGCGGTCATGACGAAGAAAATATCCGTATTGATGGTGTCTTATTCTATCTATTTTTTGTTGTAGTTATCATAAAAGTTGAGAATACAAAAATTTTTCAATGAATACAAAAATTGTATTATTTCAATGAGATATTTCAATGATATTGAAATATTTCAATGAGAATACAAAAAAAAATTGTATTATTCAATGAAAATACAAAATTATATCATTATTTCAATGAAAACATTGTATTATCCAACTGTATTATTTCAATGACATATGCGGAGAGTAAGATTCGTCGAAAGGTCACAACACTTTACGTGAATTCAGCTGACTGCATTAATTAAGCTTAATCATCATTTATATTTCTAACAGTACCTCCTTTATGATTACCTTTCACTGTTTATTATTTCCAGCAATTTAATATTCTTATTCATAATTCGCGCATCATGAACAATCTTCTTTTGATCTCAGAAATTCAATTAAACTTCTCTCCAATATTCTGAGGACATTTCTGGGAGATTGTCCTCTTCTTCATACTATATGTATTCCTTCCCACCTGAGGTATCACGAGTATACAGTGGAATCGACATATAAATTGTTGATACATCACGATTTTATTGTTTCCGCTACCTGTTGATGTGATATTGTGACTCATGCAGTATTTGGTGTTGAGTAATTGTTGATTCATGAAGATGATAAAATAAATCAGTTTCAACATTCAATTGCTCATATATAGGTCGCAGTAGTTGTAAGCTGATGTGTTTGCTGAGGAATGTTCAGAATTTAGAGATGTGAATTGATAAACGTCTGGATCACATCTTTACTCGTTAATAAATGAATGAGTTTTATTATGTTAACAATTACAGGAACTTATCGCGAGCATACGAATGCCTGTATGTTATTAGTGAATATTACTTTTTTGTCTTCGAGAAATTTTTTGCTTGCAAATGCTGAATGATATTGCTCGAGTTAGGGAACTTATCCTCATTGTCAAATCCTTTCTTAGCTGTTGCAAATGTAAATAACATTAATATTTGATGTTGATGTAACATTACTGTTGCGGTATGTTGTGCTCTTGTTTTCATTAGACTTCATTTACGAGATTATTACCATAATTAGTATCATTGTTTCATGAAGAATATCGTTTGATGTTGATGCCATATTCGATTAGTGAATGAGCCTGATACTTCGAGTGATCGTTTAAAGGTATCAGATTTCCAGAGGCTTCGAAGCCGAAGTGCTCCATCGACGGGTTGGTAACGCGATGGTGTATGGATCGAACGAAAAATTTGTATTTCTGTTGGTTTTATCATCAGTCATAACAACAAGCCTCCTTAATGCTCAAGAATATCATGATGATCCAGGTGAATAGATCGTTGTTCTGGGATTTTTATTTCTGTCATTAGATTAGATGAGTGTTTATGAGTTAGATTAATTAATTATGAGAGGGAATACATATGGTGATAAGATAATATGGGAAGTCTTTGAAACTCTTGAAGTGTCTTCAGTTTTATTGCAACAATTTCATGCTTAAATATACAGTGATAAAGTTATTTCGTTAGTTTCGCAATTGATATGTTGATAGTCATAAAGGTTGTTGTCGAAGTAATTGAATTGATTTAGTGCTGACAGTGAACAGTTTCATTGTCCACTTCAGATTATTTTTATTTCACTATTCAATATCCTCCCGAAGTGTTCATTCGATCAGATCGATGAATATGATTCATTAGGTAATATTACTACATAATTCAACGTTCCAGTCGGCATTTAACAATAAATGATATTGTTCATTTCTTGATTGTAATAATAGTGTTTGTTCGTACACTCGGATGATCGATATTGCATTGAATGCTTTTCAGTGACAGCAACAGTGCTGGAATCGAAGCAAGATTTTCCGTGTTATTCGCTACCGAAAGAGAATTATACGTGCAGTGCGTGCATTCAATTTCATGACACGTGTGCGTGGTGTAGTAAAGTGGTTAGTATTCGTTCAGTTTCTTGTGCTTTTTTTACATATTTCAAGCAAAATTTAATGCGTGAAAGGAATTTATGATAAATCTTTTCATATATTCGAAAATCTCCATGATATTATAATGAAAGAGATAATACATTCCAGCAACTGTGTTAGCGATATAATCGATAATGATGAATTTTTGTACAGTGATATTAATACTGATAATTTTGAAAGTTTCTTGCTCTTGTAATTCCATAAATCACTAATATGATGAACTAAAAAGTTTTAATAATTCACGCCTTCAGTTGGAGATGTGCAGTTAGCGGTGAGAGAATAAGTCTTATAGGCTTCCATAAAATGTCATATTGTCATATTTTGGATATGTTGATTTAGAAACCAATCAGTATGATAAAATAATTTTTATGTAAATTGAATTGATTTGTTTCGTGCGGTTTTTTGGGTACTTGTGGTTCTGTGAGCATGATGTATGTTTAATGTCATTAATAATCATCACCATGTTCATCCGTCCTGTTCCAATCTGTTAGTAATGTTGTGAGCGTAATCACTATCATCCGATGATGACACCAAAAAAAAACGTTAATTACAGGGATTCGATGATGACAATCAACATCCAAGATGCGATAGCCTCGAGCGATTAGCGGAACACGGCTGTCCGGATGATGAGATTGAATTCCCGAAAACAACTGTTCAGACAGCTGAGGTTATTGATTTGCAGTTTTTAGCATTTTTTTGAGTCGATTGGAGTAATGAGAATGTAAGTGTATTTTTCAGCATACTGACTGATCCATTCTGCAGAAAATTTTGAATTCGAATGCGACTAATACAAATTACGGTCTAATTTCAGAATCAACCACTAACAAATGCAGGCGATATCGCGAGTGAAGAAGAAGCAATACAGCTGAAACCACAAAGGATGGTCGTTAATATTAGGCCAAGTCCGTCGTTTTATCATCATCACTACTTAAATTTCACTCTTTTCTTCTACTTAATTTGATGGAATTTAAGTGAATCGTCTATAAAATCAACGAGTTGAATCAGTGCGATTGAATGTCCATCAGATATGAGGACTGTAGTGAAAATAATATTAAGATTCATGGGAAATTGCTTCAAGTGCGCACTATTTCAAATTGTTCGCTTAATTTGCGTAGTGTTGACATATGCTGCCTTCCTTGCTTGTAAGATAATGTCTCTTAGAATGGATCGGATGAAATTCGAGAATAAAAGAATGAGACTTGATTGGTTTCAGAAGCAAGAGTGCGTTTCAATGTGACCTATCGACAAGCAGTGGACTATCCAGTTGATCTTTACTATTTGATGGACTTGTCGTATTCGATGAAAGATGACAAAAAGAAACTTTCTGAATTGGGCGATCTTTTAGGTTCGATTCTCGATAATTTATTGCAAAGCAGTGAATTCGGTTGATGTTTGTGATAATTTGATGAAATCATTGGAGATATGGAGATTGGAGATAATCGAATTGTATCATCAATAATGCTTTTCTTAAACAGATTTTGCTAATGGAATTCGTTCGAGACAAATTTTTTGAATTAAAATTTTATCTTTTCACTCCTCAGAAAGCATTTTTTAGCATCATAAAAATTGATAATTTACACATATATGAATATTAACGGATTATCACAGTGACTTGTCTAAACGATTCGATATTTCAGCTGAACGTATGCGAGCAATTACGAAGAACTTCCGGCTCGGATTTGGATCTTTCATCGACAAAAAGCTGATGCCTTTCGTCGATCCTCGTCCCGAAAAGTAAGTGTTCAAGTGGTATTTGCGACCGATTCCTCTCTAATATTGTGATCATGATGAAGTTTTTGAAGAAAACTTATCGAATCTTATGCAAAATT